AAAAGGAAAAGCTGTTTGTTCAATATCACATAGATTTGTTGAAAGATCTGGTAGGGCAGAGTTTAGGAAGTGCCTTCAGGAGTCACCTCAACCATACTGGGAAACTGGGTACTCAGAGGACAGGGAACATCTGCTATAATAAGAAAAATGAGGCGCCAAGCGGCCACTGAGCTCTCAGCTGGTCCAGGGCTCCAACCTTCAGCCATGATTTGGGACTTCCAAGTCTCAGTAGAACCGAGGAAGCCAGACTAAAATCATACCCTAGTTTGGTACCAGCAAAAAGAAGCCCTCCAGTGAAATGCCTCTCTTCTTAACTCTGTTCCGAATACAAGTTTCAGCCTGGTGTGGAGGTTCAGGCCTAGAATCCCAGCACTTAAGAGATAAGACAGGAGGATCAGGAGTTCAAGGCCATCCTGGGCTACAAGAGACCCTGTCTTTAAAAAAAATTTTTAAGGTTCTTAAAGGTGTATCTACTGTGTTGACTCTTCCTGGCTGAGGAGTATCTGAGAAACCAGTTTTCCTTTGCAGCCTCTGCCTGGATAAGTACATGCATAAAGTCCACTAGACATCAGGGGCAGGGATGGCACGATCCAGTCAGCACTTCCCAGTCTTCCCCACTGACAGTTGACTTACCCCATTATTTTATTTCTTGTTTGCTTCCCGTGCATTCATTCCATGTGTTTTCTCCATCTTTATTGTTTCAATTTCTATGCTCTCCAGGATGCCTTTCGCTTCTTACAGTAAAGATTAGGTTTATTTTTATTCTCTTGTATTCCATTATTGATATCTTTTGTTTTTTCATTCAGAGAAGAATGTATCAATATTTGCAACTAATTTCCAGACATATTGTGTGCACGTAAATGAAAGTTCTCAATGACTGGTGAGTTTGGCCTTGTTATGAGGAAGCTTCCTAACCAAACGCTGAGGTTGGACTTCAGGCTCTGGATAGCCAACTCCTTTTTTAAAAGAGTCATTTACCTATTCCTAAAACCTCATCTACCATCATCATTGTGATTTCCCTGTATGCCCATGGCCATTCTGAGCCCTTCTCTTTGCTGTCAATAGGAAATATACACTTGTGCTTGCTCAGGTAGCACATACTAAAATTGGAATGATAGAGAGCTTAGCATGGCCTCTGTGCAAGGATGACATGCAAATGTGTGAAGTGTTCCATATTTTAAAAACAGAAAATATACATTTAATTAGGGCTTAGAGTTAAGAACCAACTGGAGAAGAGAATGCTGATTAAATCTTACATCATAGGCCTAAAGAAACTTCACTAAATGCCTGAGCTGGACAGCTGAGAATGGACCAGGGTTTCAGGAAGAGCGTTAGATCATAGACTACTTTTATCCCTGAAAGTAAATAGCATGGGTGGACAGCTTCTCAATTTATTCCATGAAATGCAAATAATATTAAATATCCCAAAGCAGTCTTAATTCTCCTTTTTTATTTTGTGGCACAAAATTAATCTTCCCTGGCATAAATCAGAGTGGCAAACAATGAAACATAGTATTGATTTACAGTATCAGCATCTCTAAGTGTGTGGTCTGATTGAACTGAGAGATAGAAAAGAAATACAGTATTTTATGGACAGCAGTTTCCTCATGGTCTAATGCAGCTGGTATGAAACGAGGTCTGGAAAAGACCACCCTCAGAGGACACAGGCACTCTGGGTCAAATCATGACTCAAGAGGCAGCTATCCTTCACACTGAATTGTAACACGTAGAATCATAATGTAGGCCATTTTTTAATTTAAAAAGTATTTTACAGATAACTCTAAAGTTACTTTTTAGAAAGGGAGAAATAGGAGCAAAGCAGGATGAACCCACAACTCCCAGACCATCAGCCTGCCCGCCCTTCTCCTGACTTCACTCACCATGTGTGTCAATTGTGGTCAAGCTCTTCTTACCTCTCTGTTTCTATCCTCACCCCAGAGATTACAGTGGAGAATTGAGTCCGCTGAATAGGTATACAATTTGCTTAGTAATTAGAAACACAGATCTGAAGTCAGATTTCATGGGCTCAAATTCTGGTCTTAGCTATGTGGTTTTTAGGTAAAGTGCTGATTTACCTGCTCCTTCATTCTCTTAACTATAAAATGAAGATGGTGGTAGTCTACACATATAAACACATTTATATTCCTTGTGGAGGTTTTGTAGGGATGCTGATACAGGCTTAAGAAACACCATACTAATTGTTCAAAGAAAAAGCTACTAATGTTTAATTCTTTGTATTATTGTTTAGCTGGCAAGCATACTAAACAAGCTTGTTTTAGGTTGTCTTTCCGTTCTGAAACGTGTACTTAGGAAAATTGAGATAAAACATTAAGATGAGATGATGCCAAATGTCTGCTTGACACTTGAAAATGGAGGGTCACAGAGTGTAGCTCAGTGGTGGAGTGTTTGCCTGGGATGTATGAAGCTCAGGGTTTGATCCCCAGCACCACTGAAAGACAAAATCAAATTTTAAAAATTTAAACCAGAAAACAAATGCAGATGTTTTCAAACATTTCATAGACTAAGTGCCAATATTTTCTAAGGTCTTCCTTTTCACTTGGCATGTTTTTTTCCTGTGTGTGTGTGTGTGTGTGTGTGTGTGTGTGTGTGTGTGTGTGTGTGTGTGTGTGTGTGTGTGTGTGTGTGTGGTTTTTCTTTCATAAAAGCTCACTGGATTTTGCTCCATGTGCTTTCTGGATCTACTGAGATCATTTGCATTTACATCCATTCTCTAGCACCTCCATGTGCTGTCTGGACATCATGAAACTTCCTAGACATATATCCTCATTAATCATTTGGACAGGTAAATTTATTAGCCCAAATTTATACTTTCCAAGGCTAGAGCTTGGTGGATTGTATAACTTATCTATGTTCAGTGGGCTGGGATGCACTCCACTCACAGAAGAGAAACTCGGGACTTCAGCATGAGGGTTGTGGGCGGGAAGGAAGGAAGATTGCTTGAGGCCAGCCTGGTCTACATGATGAGTTCCGGGATAGCTGGGGCTCCATAGTGTGACCCTGTCTCAAAACAAATTTTAAAAAGGTCTTATTTATTCAGAGCTGACTCTCTTCTACTGTTACGTGTATTTCATGAATCTAGAACTGATAGTCTAAGAAGACTGAAAAGCTCACGATAGAGAATCACTGTGGTCGTCACTAAAGGATTTCTCAACTTAATTGACAGTGTATTTTATTTTCACAAACAACATTTTTCTGAGCTAGAATTTATACATATACATAATAGTGTACAGTTGTATAGATTATAAACACAGACATTTATACACAATATGTTATGCCCATTAAACATATTTACCCATCATAATACACATATGGATAGAACTGATGAACAGAATTAGTGAAGGGGGTGACTGCAAGGGATGTGTTTAAACTCTGTTGTTACATCTTTGTTTGATTTAGAAATAAAGGTTAATCTTTCAGAAAAGCACTGTTTCATGGAAAGTGTTAGGCTTAACTTTTTGCAGTTGTTTGTTTTGAGACACAGTAATCCTCCTGCCTCAGCCTTGCGAGTTCTGGGATTACGGATGTGCACCACCATGCTCAGCCTTAACACGGGTTCTTGAGGGTGTAACTGTTCCTGTTTTTCAGACAAACGTGGAAGGTCAGTGAGGCACAGTCACGGTGGCTGGTTGGGAATGTCGACCTCAGTGTGTGCTCTAAAGGAATGCCCATGGCTCTGATGCCGATGTGCTGGCTTCCTCGGATACCATTAAAAGCCCCACTTGACAAGCCTTAAGCACAGTGATGGACTGCACATTTCCTGTCAAGCAACACATGCTTAGATGATGAACAACTCTGTTAACTTGGGGATTTATTTATTTTCCAAGAATCAATTTTTCATCTTGTTCTACAAGCCCATAAAGCTGCTTAAAACTCAGATTTCTTATTGCTAATAAAAGAAACCTCCACCTATGGTTGAGCCACGAAAGGCACGGAATAGAGAATCCATCTTGACCCTCTGTACCCTTAGGCCTAGAAATGCAAGAAGACAGCACATCTTGCTGGAACATAACCAAGGCTAAGGCGTTGGAGGAGGGACCAACTGACAGGAGTTGGGACTCCCCAGATCAAAGAGCAGAGCCATCACCAAACCAGAGGGCAGCAGACCCAGAGGGAGGCCATGAGCCCTGACCTCTTATTCCCATGCTTCACCTTTAACCAGGAGCCACAGGGCAATGGAGTCCAGCCAACAGGTCTCCAGAGGCCACTGCACAGGGAAGGTGGAGAGTGGGCCTGGAAGGGCAGGCAGAGAATAATCGCACAGCATTTTAGAGAACTAGTAATTATACAGGACACTAGCTTCCAACTCCTCCTCACTGCAGAGCTAATGGGGCCCTCTCCCATTATGCGAATCCTCTGAGGTCCCTTCTAGGTTTTTATCCAGTTGTTGTGGAAGCATCGTTCTGTGGTAGAATATGATGCAGGCCTATTTTTGTTATTTTTAAAAATCATCTTTTCTCTTTCTTTTTTTGCTAAAATTGGCTTAGTACCAGGTCCCAAATAGTTCGTTTTAATTTAATCAATCCCCCCGGACTTATTCCTTACTATCCTAGCCACCTGCTTTCCTCTGGGACCAGGTTGATTTATGCAGATAGATCATCTACCTGTGCAGCTCTCTCCTACATCTCCTTCTTGCGGTCAGCGCGCCATATTCCGTGCTCACTTTCTGAATCAGTACAAACTCTGACATCCCTGTCCATTCTTCTTTGTTCTTTCACCTTGGTTTGCTTCATTTGTTTCCTGTTGACTTGTTCTGAATTAAATGCTGCCATTATGGTAAATTAATTGTAACTTGCACGTGTGTATGTGTTTGAGGAGTGGCAAGAATTGTTTAAGATGGACTTTACAGGTTTACAAACGAGGTAAAAGTCAGAACTGGTTTTACGATTTGCAGACTTGTTTACTTCTGTCTCTTAGGTGGGGTGGCGTGTTTCCCACAAGCTGTGTGATTCTAACTGTGCCTCCTTTTTCACTCCACTCAGATTCGAAGCCAGAGCAAAGCGTCCGGCTCTGGGTTGTGTGAGGGGGATGAAGTGGTGTCTATCAATGGCAACCCTTGTGAGGACCTCACCTACCCTGAAGTCATCAAGCTCATGGAGAGCATAACAGACTCTCTCCAAATGCTCATCAAAAGGTACGGCACATGTGCTTGAAGCTAGGTGGGAAAGGTTATAGGGTCTGTGAATAGAGATACGGTGTGATTTATTGAAGGAATTTGCGGTGCTTTGTCAGGACGGTTAAAGAGAAGCGCTATGGTGTTTGAAAATGAGCAATTCTATTCAACTGGGATTACTGACTAATTGAGAATTAACTTGAAAATTTTTCTGCCAATCACTTTGATGAAAGTCTTAGGTTTTTTTAGACTACTTCCTTAGAAAGATCAGTATATTAACCATAAGAGTTCTTTTTCCAAGGCCAAGGTTTTCTGAAGGGTCAGGATTATATAAATTGGTTAATTTTCTAAAATTCTAAAATTGCTTAAAATGTAGAGTGTGTGTGTGCGTGTGTGTGCGCGCGCGCGAGTGCGTGCACGCGCACGTAGATGTACATGCACTTATGCACATCCATGGGAAGCCAGAGGTCAATGTCAGGCGTCTTTCCTCTAATTCTCTCCACCTTAGTTTTTGAGACAGAGCCTCTCACTGAACCAGGATTTGCCAGTTGGCTGGCCTGGCTGTGTGTATGAAACTGAGCTTGCCATGGGCAAAATCTGGTGACATTAAAGAAATCCACATATTCTTAGAGTGTCCCATCTAAATATTTACTCATCAAGCACTTAGGATCTCACTTATTTATCATGTTGCCCTTTGCTTTTGAAAGCAACCAGAACTAAAAGGAAAGAAAAGAGGGAGGGAGGGGAGGAGGGAGCAAGGAAAGAAGAAAGAAAGGGAGGGAGAGGGAAGAAACAAAAGAGGAAGGAAGGAAGGGGGAGAGAGAGAAAGTGAGTTGCTGGAATGCTGACTGTTGAGCGAGGCTCCAGAATTTGCCATCATTCTAAAGAAATCTGTTAAGCATTTGAAGACTTCCAGCTTCCATCTCTGTAAAGGTTTAGTCATATACAAAATGGGAAATCAGCCTTCCTAATTTCTTCCTTTTTATGTCTTCGTTGACTTAACGAGGCCAGTTCTGTGGAACACATTTGTCTGGGACAAGCTCTACTCATTCCTGTTTTGATGATGGCTATCACAGGAGAAAACACTTGGCTTAAAGCTTCAGCTTAGGCACCTATTTAGTTTCAGAGATAAATGGGCTTGTTCACTGCTGCTCTGAATAACTAGAATCATGGGTTTTTTTTCTCTTAAGTATTTTTTATTTTTTAAATATTTTTATTTATTTGAGTGTTATTCATGCAGTGCCTGCAGAGGGGGCGTCAGATCTCCTGGAACTGGAATAACAGATGGTTGTTAGCCGCTGTTTGGGTGCTGGGATTTGAACCTGGGTCTTCTGCAAGAACAGCCAGTGCTCTTAACTGCTGAGCCATCTGTCCAGCCCCACTATTCTTTTAAGAAATAGTGATGGAATTCAAATGGACTCTTCATTTTTAAACCCCCCTAAGCAAAACTACTCAGCACATCTGAGCATGCTCCTGAAACGAGATGGGTAAACCATTTCACTGTCTGTCATGAGACAACAGGAGTTTGGCTTTTCCTGGGTTATTACTCAGAGATAGCTAGATTTTTTTTTTTTTAGTACCAAATCACTGTAACCTTAAAGCTTATTAAAATGGTAAGAAACTTAAGTGGTTTTATCATCATACTGATTGAAGACTGAGGAGAAATGAGTAATTAAAGCATTGATCTTTTTCTCAACGTCTTTATCATCTTTACTCGTATATACACACTCCATTTTAGCTCCCACGAGTACTAGCATTTTTCTTGCCCGTTTGCTTATATTCTAGTCTACAAGGCTAGGATATATTAAAGCTTTTGGAACCCTCAAATTCAGATTAATCTAGTACATTCATCATTTCCTATGTGAAATGATCTAGGGAGTTGTAGTTCATGCCTATAATCCCAGCACTTAGGAGGCTGAGACAGGAGGATCATCATGAGTTCCAGGCAGTCTATGCTACTTAGTGAATTCTAGGCCAGCCTGTTTTACAGAGTAAAACCCTGTCAAAAAACAAAATAAAGAACAACCTAATCTATCATACTTTAAAGATCTTTGTTAAATATAATACCTCTATGAAGCTTTTCAGATCACCCGCATAGAGAAAAGCTGTAGTTGGTTTAATTTTTGTTTCAGTTTGGCCAGCGGCAGTCAAAATCAGTTAGAGGGAAACACTTTGGACTGGGGCCTGAAATTCTACTTCCACATAAATTCTAGAATAAATTCCTTTGAGAAGAAGAGAACTAGACATTCCCCTTGCGTGGATGATCCTGTCACGAGTCAGGGTGCATTTGGAGAGCTGCTGCCACCTTAAAGAGACAAGAAGTAGGAAACAGGAAGGCTCCAGCTGTTCTATGTTCTCCTTTAAACAGGCTTTGAGCTCAGAGTTTCAGAAAGAATGTTCTTTAACTCCCAAACTGGCACTGCTTCTCTAAGCCCGCACTTGCAAACTTGACTGTGAATGGGTAGGTTGCCACCATAAGGACCGTGGTGAACACCTCTGGGCTTCTTAACTGAGAGATAAAGGAACAGTTTGAGTACAGAGATTCTAAAAGGAAAATATCACAAGAGACAAGTTCAAACAGAAGTGAAGACTTCTCAGATTATTAATACTCCATGACTTCATGATTCATTGCAGCATGGAAAGGATTACTCTTTGCACAAGAGTTCTGGGCTGGGGTCCACCATGCTCAGCAGAGCTTGGAAAACAACTGGCATTTCATTCCTTTTAAGAAGGTACCATGTCTAAAAGGATTACTTGAACTGTCTGTAATTTAAGATTGACCTGAAGCCTTGGATGTGTTTATATGACTTGATAATGTTCAGACATTGCTCTATAAGACTAAGAATAAAGGGCCGGAGAGATGGCTCAGCAGTTAAGAGCACTGGCTGCTCTTGCAGAGGACCTGGGTTCGATTCCCAGCACCTAATGGTGGCTAACAACTGTCCATAACTCCAGTGTACTTACATACATGCAGGCAATATACTCACACACATTAAGTGAAAACAGTAAATAAAATACTGAAAAAGACACTGGAATGTTGGACCACCTACAGTAAACACAGTGGGAATACCCAGATGTTTTCAAGTGAAGGGTATACATGTAATTACAACCTGTGGTTTTTAAAAATAAAGACTGAATTTAAAATGGATTTAGATTTCAAAGATTTTTGTAAGAATTTTTTTTTTTTTTTTACTTTAAAGAAAATTTTTATTTGAAAGCCCTTTAACAACCATGTGGATGTGTTACCAAGTTTTGTTTTCCAGTATGGTGCAATTAACATTAGGGGGAAATATTTTTATTTTATCATGTATGAGACAGCATAAATATCAGGAATTTTTTTGGCAGGTGGAACATATGCTGATTTAATTGTTTGAAATTGTTTTTCTGTGTGCAGACCATCTAGTGGAATAAGTGAGACTTTGGTCTCTGAAACTGAAAGTGTAAATCATGAGCATCTCACACCTGAGGGGCTGGGGGAAAGCGCCACCCTGCAGATTCATCCAACCGCAATGACCCAGTGCACAGAGTTCTTTCTTGCTCCAGTCCAGAGTAGAGTTCACCTAGCTGAGGACCAAGAAAATGACTGGGATTCTGCAAGAGGCACAAAAGAAGAAACAGACCCCAGCTACCAAAGAGCTCCCAACGTAAGCCACTTCCAAGAACACTTGGTAGAAGAGGTCATCTTAAGGAAGAAGGCAGAGTCGGGCCAGACAGTCCCTGTGGTTGAGCTACAACTGTCCCTCTCACAGGAGAGCCATCAACACTCTAATGACTCTGTAGTGACTCTCCAGGGATCTGAAAAATCCAAGTCTTCTGACCAAGATTGGGACTTACAACAGGAAAGCACTGTCCACATAGATACCATCCCTGCTCCTGGGAAAGTAGACTCTTCTCTGAGGTCCAGCCAAACAATCCAGATCTCTAGTGGCAGAGAACTGAGAGTGAGCCAGGGGAGGGAAGCAGACGACACAGGGCTGCCCCGGGTGGAAGTGATTCTCCACTGCTCTGATAGGCAGAAGACGGAAGGGTGCAGGCTGCAGGCAGGAAAGGGGTGTGCGGCTTCTCAGGGGGAAGGAGGGCAGTCAGAAGCACCTCCTTCTGTGGTCTCCTTTGCCATCTCATCAGAAGGCACAGAGCAGGGAGAAGATCAACGCTCAGAAAAGGATCACAGCAGACCACACAAGCACAGAGCCCGACACGCACGTAAGTCCTGCTAGGGGTAGATGCCTGGCCAGGGCAGCTGGGAGTTCAGGGAATTTGCTGTTTTGCCTACATGAATTATTTAAAGACTTTTCTTACATCTTTCATTATCTTTATTTTTTTAATTGATGCATAAAATAGCAAAATTAATATTGTGGAGAATAAACAGTTTCTGAATTGGAAGCAGGAAATTTGAACTTTCATATTAGATTTAAATGTTTTTCATAAACTTCATTTTATCCCCCAAAGATACAGAAACTGTTAAATATGATCAATGTGCCTTTTTTTGTTTCAGGATATTATGACATTTCATGTTAAAATACCATAAAAGTATTGGCAGTAATGTGGACTCTGAGTTTAAATGACAAAAACAGTTCAGTCTTCTGCTGTGGGGAGCCTTTAATTCAGGCTCCACACTGACATGAAAAGCAGATCTTCCTTTTGAAAAACAGCATTCTGTGGCTTGATGATGCTTGCAGAAGTGTTTGACAGACAAGGGCATGTGGGATGCTGAGCTGTTATGTGATCCTCCTGGTGTCAGTCTCACTAGACACAGCGTTCTTCACCACCCTCCAGACACACGTCAGTCTCCAGGGCCACGTGTAGGTGGCTCAGTGCCCCAACACAGAAAATATACTTGAACACAAGGCTTCTTGTGGCATTTTGTTTGATCGAAGGTACTGGGGTCAGGAAGGCAATGAGGTTAAGAATTGCAGTTTAGTGTTTTTGTTGGTTTTTTTCTTTAGTTTTACAATTTGGGGAATTTCTTTTGAGGGTACAAAGGCTGGATGTGTCAATGGAATACAACAGCTATGCAAAGTAATACATTAAGTCTTCTGGCATGGTGTGGTGATTTCTTTCAATGCATATTTTTAGCATAGCCATTTGTAGCTCTGTTGGCAAGTGCTGATAATCACTCCTCACACTTTAAGTATCTGTATGTCTTCTTACATATATAGCACATTAAGCAAGAGCATTGTGACAGCATTCACGTATTTCACTTTGGCAGTAAAGAGCAGTAACTGTACAGCTGTGGCTGTCAGTTTAACAATAAGCCCTATTCCATGGTCAAAAAGGAGTCTTGTTTGATAATGACCACACTTTGAACTATTTTGTCTGTACAAAATTTGATCTCCAGAAAATATCTGTAAGATTACCTGTAAAATTATTTTTCTCTGGTTTTATTTTATTGTTAAAAATTAACTAACTTTGATTTTTAACATATTACTAATTTTCAATCATAAAATACTCAACTTTTCTGATATTCACATTTACCTATCTTAAGTTATTAAAAACATATTTGGAAATCATACTCATTAAAAGTGATTATAATTAATTGATGATATAACTTAATTTTCACCCATTTGTTCTGGATAACAATAAAATAAAAATATAAATTTTTGTTACTACGAAACTGCCAAGTTCCCATTTTAAAAGGCATAGTTGATACATCTGTTTTTACATCAGTTAAAAAAAATCTCGTCATAATTTTTATATCTTCCCAAGATTTACATCTGTTCTTACTGTAACTTAAGCAGCTTTATTTCCAAAAGAGTGTCACATTTACAAATTTGTCTAGGTAACTTTTTAGCTAGAGTCTATAATATACATTCACAGAGTTCTAGTATCCAAAATATAACTGATTACTAACTCAGTACCTTCTATTATTAATTCAGTGATAGTAATTCAATTAATATTAATATTGTCAATTATTTATAATTAATTAATTATATTTTTTGGTAGCTCAATGGAAAGATGTGGGACAGATGTCAAGTGAAACAGAAGAAACAATCTATTGCATTAAAACACTTAGCTTTATATTCATATATTATTTTTAAAATGTATCTTATTTTTCATAATGTTCCTAAATTATATTCTTTTTGATTCAAACTATATTCTCTTAACTTTCATTTACTAGTCCACTTTTATTATTAAAGTTTAAGAATCCATAGAAGAGGAAAAAGTACGAAGCATGTTCTAAATTAGGATATGTAAAAATGTGTTTATGTGCATGGATGGAATGAGACACTGTATTGCGTTATTTATTGTTTATTATTGTATAAGTACAGATTTTAAAAAAAGAAATGAAGGGCTGGGGCTATAGTTCTATCTTAGATTCTGTTTAGCATGGGTAAGGCTTTAGGTTCAATCCCTAGCAGGTAAGGAAGGGAGGGAGGGAGGGAGGGAGGGAGGGAGGATAAATGAGTGTGATTCCTTCAAATTTCAGCACCCAATTATAAGACTTGTTTAAAATATTCATTTCCCTCAGATGACATCAATTTCTGGGCTGCTGTGCAGTATTCTTCGAATTCATCAGTTCAATACAATTTGTGTTCCCAGGTCTCAGGAGGAGCGAAAGCCTGTCCGAAAAGCAAGTAAAAGAAGCAAAATCTAAATGCAAAAGCATCGCACTCCTTCTAACAGATGCCCCCAACCCCAACTCCAAGGGGGTGTTGATGTTTAAGAAGCGAAGGCGGAGGGCCAGGAAGTACACCCTAGTCAGCTACGGTACCGGAGAGCTTGAGCGCGAGGACGAGGACCGGGAAGAAGGCGACCAGGACAATACATGTGAAGTTGCGTTTCTTGGCGCGAGCGAGTCCGAGGTGGATGAAGAGTTACTGTCTGACGCTGACGACGACACACAAATTGTAAACTTTGATTGGGATTCCGGACTGTTGGATATTGAGAAGAAGCTGAACCAAGGGGACAAGATGGAGATGTTGCCAGACACCACAGGCAAGGGAGCCCTCATGTTTGCCAAGAGGAGAGAGAGAATGGAACAATTCACAGCTCAAAATGAAGAGGAGAGGGTGGGTGGAATGCCAGGCCGAGGACCAGATGTGGTGCAGACAGACGGCCTGAGAACCACGACTTCCTACCAAAGGAAGGAGGAAGAGTCACTGAGAATGCAGAGCTCTGTGAGCAAAAGCTTGGTCCAGATGGACCATGGTCTTGGCTACATGCCCCAACAGAATGGCTTCAGTGGAGGATCCGAGCCAGCAGAGGCCCAGAGGATGATCCCTGTGAACAGAACAGCCAAGCCCTTCCCGGGAGCTGCCAGCCAGCCAGCAGCCCCTTTCTCCCCAGTGCGAAGTGTGACCAGTCCCATCTCTGACTTTCCTGCTCCTCCACCTTACTCTGCGGTCACTCCTCCACCAGAAGCCTTCTCCAGAGGGGTTTCAAGCCCGATCAGTGGTCCAGCACAGCCCCCTCCATGGCCCCAACCTGCCCCATGGTCACAGCCAGCCTTTTATGATTCATCTGAGCAAATAGCTTCCCGGGATGAGAGGATCGCAGTGCCAGCGAAAAGAACAGGGATACTGCTGGAAGCCAAACGACGGGGCACAGCGAAACCCATGTTTACTTTCAAAGAGCCCAAAGTCAACCCCAATCCTGAACTCCTGTCACTTCTTCAAAATGCAGAGGGCAAACGGGGCACTGGAGCTGGGGGGGATTCCGGACCTGAAGAAGACTACCTCAGTTTAGGAGCAGAGGCTTGTAATTTCATGCAAAGCTCTGCCAAACAAAAGACCCCACCTCCAGTCGCTCCCAAACCCGCAGTCAAGTCCTCCTCCCAACCGGTTACTCCAGTTTCTCCAGTCTGGTCTCCAGGAGTGGCTCCAGCCCAACATCCTGCCTTCTCCACATCCAACCCTGCACAGGGCACAGCTGCATCCTCCATCAAAATAGCCCAGCCTTCTTACCCTCCTGTCAGACCCTCAAGTGTGCTGAATGTGGCTGGTCCCTTCAAAGGACAGCAAGCAGCTGTAGTAAGTCAGAACTACACACCTAAGTCAACAGCACCCAAACCACTAGTAAACGCTGCTCATTCTGGTGCAGGGGGACCAGCCAGTGAGCTTCCAGGCATGAGTGGGAAAGGAGCCCAGCTCTTTGCTAAAAGGCAGTCAAGAATGGAGAAGTATGTGGTGGATTCCGACACCGTGCAGGCCCACGCAGCTAGGGCCCAGTCTCCTACTCCATCCCTGCCAGCCAGTTGGAAGTACTCCTCCAATGTCCGAGCACCCCCTCCTGTGGCCTACAATCCTATCCATTCCCCCTCCTATCCACTGGCTGCTATCAAGTCTCAGCCAGCAGCCCAGGCCTCCAAAATGAGCAAGAAAAAGGGCAAGAAACCCCTCAATGCTTTGGATGTCATGAAGCATCAACCATATCAGCTCAACGCATCCTTGTTTACGTTTCAACCTCCTGATGCAAAGGACAGCCTCCCTCAGAAGTCAGCAGTCAAGGTCGGTTCAGCCCTGACCATGAAGCAAGCTCTTCCTCCCAGGCAAGTGAATGTTGGCTCTCCTACAAACGCACAGGCTTCCTCTGTGTACTCGGTTCCAGCCTATACCTCTCAGCCGTCCTTCTTTGCAGAGGCCACCTCACCAGTCAGCGCATCACCGGTGCCTGTGAGTGTCCCTACCTCTCCAAAGCAAGAATCAGCCTCCTCATCTTACTTTGTGGCACCACGGCCGAAGTTCTCAGCTAAGAAAAGTGGTGTCACTGTTCAGGTGTGGAAACCATCTGTTGTGGAAGAGTAATTTCATAGCTGAAGCTGAGTGTCCGCTTTGCTTGAAATGAATCGTTTGCAGTGTTACTTGAGTCCCCAAGAATGCCTAGCAAATCCTCAACTTACTTAATTTCAGATACGTCACCTCCCAGTCTGGGTCCAAGAAGCATAATATTTTTGAGTCAAAGAACCCAACTCAGTTTGACTGAAAATATATTTATTTACTATGTACACTTAAAAATATCTGAGGTATCCCAAATTAGACATGTGCCATTACATTAAGTAAGCAGGATACTTGGGATTTATGCTTTAGCTACAAGACAGCAGTCAGTGTAACAAAACATTAGAGCACAGCCTTTACATAACATAGGAGCACCTGGGCTCTCATGGTAGAAAGGCTCAAGGCAGGGAAAATGTAGCAAGTAACGTCTGAGATTTCCCTTTTAAGTCATGCTTTATTTCTTTTACTGGTGTTAAGGAAATAAGAAATCTCTTGAGGACAGGGATCAGCTCTGGCCTGTCAGCCTCAAGCACCTGTTTGTTATCACAGGGAAGGCACTCAGGCCTGTTGGAATTCACATAGCTTAGTAAGAGGTTGTCAGAAGGAGGATCTTAGTTACTGAGCGTTTACTCTATATTGGGTCCTTTGCCAGATGTTTTTACGTATATCAACTTGTTTCAGAAGCCTTGTCTAAAGTAAATGAGGTAGGGAAACAAATGTAATTATCCTCGTAGATTCATATCATCCCTCCCCAGTTATTTCAGGAGCTCCATGCGTGCAGCTCCAGCTGCCCATGAAAGCACCTGTCTGTTTTCCTCAGCTGAGACAAAAAGTACAGTACAGTAGGATGAAGTGACACATCTAAAGGGGGTGCACTCAAAGTCACACACAGGAAGCCCTAGGACCTGAGAAATTCCTGCCTCCATGCTGAAGCACGAGAAACCACACTTGCATGGAGTCCAGGGCAAGAACCCAGTTATTAAGCGCTTAGCTGAGTGACCTCACAGAGCTTCTTCCTGTGCTCACTTTGCTTTTTGACGAGTACTCCTTCCATGGCTTGCTGCGTTTCTATTCTTGCACCTTTACTTTCTTACTTATATTTGATGGACCAGGATAATTTGGGCAAGGTTACCTTGTGAATTTGGACTGGTTACACACCATGTTGTCATCCAGCTGGCTATGAGGTTAATAATGTTACTGAAAGTCAACCTGAAGACCTTTCTCATACCTATTTTAAGTCTGAGTGTGACCAACCATGGAAAATATTCAACATGAGTTAATGTAGACAAGTCCACAGCATTTATGACAGCTCCAAGGAAAGCCTCCTCCTCTCTGCAGGAGACGCGGCTAGAGACTTCTTGTAAAGCTTGCCTGGTTTGGGCGTACAGTGCCGCATTACCCCTCTCATACCTGTTCCTTTACTGCTCCCACTGCCAATCTGCTGTTCTCCACTGTCCTATTAAAATATTATTTTCTTCTTTCTGATCTTTGTGCATATTTTAAAAGATTTCTCATATGACCTGCTCTGATCTGTCACTTCTCTAATAATTCTCTTATGACTTCTGAATTTCCTTTTGGGGAGTAGCCATTTCTTTGGGGGAACATATATTCTAAGAAATACACAAAGAGAAATAGCTTCCAAACCGTGGTACTGCTTCTGCTGTTTGCCCTGTGAAACCTCCCATTGTGTTTGGTGGGGATAGAAGCACCGGATGTAATTTGTCTCATATTTACCTTTATAGAAGTCAATTAGGAAGGTTAATGCAGGCAACAGGGGAAAGCAATCAATCCTTATACAATAGTTGCTTGTACCACTCAATCCAATATAAGCAATTTGTAGAATGGCATTTTTTTCTAATAGAACACCCCCAAATCCCTTTCTTCACATGAAACAGGAAAGGATATCATTTTCATTACTGCAGTCTTAGCACAGCGTAAGTTAGAAAAAGACATGGAGCTCATGGGTGCTCTGCGTTGTGGTTGGCAGGTAGACACCTTGAGCTCATTGGTTCAAAATGCTCCTGAATGGGAATGCCCCAGAAAGTTTCCCAGTTATGCAGTGTTTTGTGGCATGGAGGAATGAGAAGTATTTTCGGTCTGTTTTCTGTTGAACAGGTGGCATTCTTAGCAGAGGCACTGTTTGGAGTTTATAGCTAAAGACACAACTAAGATCATTGTGTCTTCTTATCATCTGGGGACTGCGTGGGGTTCCAAAAAAGCTCCAAGAGACATGCCAGGCCGACACACATAATGTCTAGTTTTGACCAGAAACTGTAACAGAGGTCTCATTTGGGACCACAAGGTCTCATTTTACAGAGGAAAGGTATAAACTCTCCAGAAGAAATCCCCACAGAGTGAGCTCTCTCCAAGGCCAGGCACAGGAAGAAGAACCAAACCACCTCCCTGAGGAACTGGGGCTTCTCTCCCCTCCACGCCCCCTCAGGGAACTGCATGTGCCAGCTCTCCAGTCACAGTTATGGATGCCAGTGCGACCGAGGAGGTTAGAACTCTGGGTTCTAACCTCCCACTTCACCCACCTTTCAATCTGAGTTGTGGTTCGGTGGCAGCAAATATTGTTGGATGAATTTTAGTTGGCTGGATGGTTGGGGGAGCCTAGGAAAACATTTTCTTTCTTTCCCTTTCTTCTTTCATTTGTTTGGAGTTTCTGTCTTGTTTTGTTCGTATCTTTCCTCTTCTCTTGTTCTTTGTTAACATCTAGGTAGAACATTCCTGAAGTCAGTTTTTGTTGTCAACACAGCAGTAATCATTTCCTGAGTGTGCCTTAAGAACAGCATCCTGGGGTAGAGATAGGTGGGTTATGGTGAGTTCCAGGCCAGCCTGATCTACATATTCAGAGCCAGGCCAGCCGGAGCAATAGTGAGACCCTGTCTCAAAACAAACCCAAAAGAAACAAAAGAAAAAAACCCAACATCCTGAGGACTCTACTGCACAGTTTATTCACTGAGGGGTAATCACACTCACTGACTTGCTAAGGGACCTTGTACACATTTCTTCTTCTATGAGGTCCCGTCCCCCGCTCCAAAATGTCTCAAGCCTCTCTCCCAACAGGAGCATTGCACTATGGGACATGTGTACAATATGGAAGATTCTAGGAAGAAAAAAGGTGGTATGTAAATACAAATCAGCATTTCCTCTTCAGACTGAATCACAGGGCTGGTGGGAGCAAGAATCTTAGCATTGTCACCTTAATTTTAGAACATTTATTATTTTATTTCTAATGTTTCAATAGTAAACACATTCTGTTTTGAGAGAGGATAGGACATGCTTTCTGCATTTAGACTACTTACGGATGCATTTTCAAGACTATGTTGTATAATGCGCATTTGGATAATCATTCTAGAGCACGCAAAAAACACGCATCTAGAATGATTGCTGATGATAACATGAGCTGACAATCTCATTTAATCTTCACAAGAAGCAACTGATTTTAGCCACAGGGAAATGTATCTGTTACAAATAGTTCTTTCATATAAGCTGGTGTTCTTTAGACAGTGCCAACTTCTCTCATTCTAGGATGGCTGGGTATTAGCACACAGTCTATATTTTAGCAGCAAGAGTCACATCTGAAATGTCAAAAACAAATGATTCTTTTAAAGGGGGTGGACTAAGATGTGGGACCATCTTCCTGTTTGCAGTCACTAACATAAAGAATGCTGAAGGTCTTCTGTCCGCTGATAAGCACAACAGCCCCGGAAGCACCAACTATAAAGCATGTTAAGAGCGGAGGACACCTGGCGGTTGGTGCTTACGGCTTTCGTGGTTTACTAGAGAACGCACAAGCGCCCACATCCTCAGTCAGTGGTGCCTTCCATGAGCTCTCACCAGCCAGGCAGGAGAGGTATTTGCAGGTGAAGTCATCAAGAAATGACTGTTTTCTGAAAGGCTAAGTCCTTGAAGTGCTTCTAAAAGGAAGTGTGGAATCTTGCGTTCACGTGCACGTTCAGCTCTGCTGAAATTAGAGTTGTTGAGTTTGTTTTAAAAGTTTTTATATGTTCATAAGAAAAGTATGTAAGTTCCAGCACCCATCCTGTATTCCCAGAAACACTGACCCTCACTGGTCTTGTGTCCCATGTCATTGGACTCTAGGGGACAAAAAGATTTTTGTGATACTTCAAAGCTGCTGACTGAGTCAACAAGTACTCTGGGAAAATGCCACATTGAAATTCTTCTCTTGACTTCCCACCAGAGTTGGCCTCCAAGCACAAAGCAGACAGTAAATCCCCACAGGACCCGAACGCCAGGCTAAGTGCTGAATGACCAGTCCCTGGTTATCATTCTATGAGCATCCATACCCTAGGAGATCTCTGCGCCACAAGCGTTTCCCCAGCCTGATCAGGTGCAGTCAGTTTCTGACATGTTTAAGTGCATGCCTGTATGGCACGTGTGTGTGTCTGAACACTCATCTACCACCTGGTGTTCAGAAAGCACAGAGCTACTCAGAGGCAGTTTGGTGAAGAGAGATTTAATTTTAAAATTGTGAAATCTGGGCTTGGGGATATAGTTCAGTGGTACAAATGCAAATTCCCAAATTCAGTTCCCAGGACTATGGGGAAAAGGTCGACATTTATCAGACTCCTGGCTCTATCAAAAGTTTGCCAACTAATGAAGCAGACTTTCAAGTGTCAGAGAGGACATTAGGCCACCACGGGGTCCGTAAGTGATGTTTTAATTATGGACACATGAAATTTTGTTTTTATTTTTCATTTTCATTTAAAGACCCACATGATTATCTGTTTATCTCATTCTTGACCAATAACATTGGTATACTTTATTACTGCTCAAATATAAGTTCAGGCTCCCTAATTACCCCAAGACCAGATTTCCAACCTTCCTTCTTCCTCCCTCTTCTAATGGGAATACTCAAAATAAAAATGTTCAAAGCATAGTGCAGAGACCCTGATTCCTCAGTACCTGCCTCCTCACTTCTCTGAGACTTGTTACTAGCATATTCATGAGAAATATTTTAAAATCAAAGGATT